GGGGGGAGCGTGCGAACGTGTGTGAGGAAGGTGTGTCCACAGGTGTGCCAACCATGCCATTGTTGTAGTGACGTGACACCTACCTGCTGCTGTGTATAAAAAGCAAATGATTCATCTGCTCCATTATCAGTCCAGTGCGCCAAATAGTTTCGGCTCGCCTAGTCAACTTCAGTTACACGGCTGCGTCAAAAGTTTCTGGTATGAAGATGAGGACTCTTCTTTTTGTGGTTATTCTTGGACTTCTTGCTGTTGTCCACTCAACACCTGTTAATAGTAAGTAATAGTCTTACATTTTTCTGTTTAAAGCATTGAATCTTTCTTAAACACTTAAAACAACACTTTCTATTTTAGCTGAGTATGTGTGATATTATGAGCCATGTGGTTTTCTCTCATAGGATTAAACTGTAAAAGGATAAAGATTAAATTCCAGGTCTATTCTTTTGATCTGCTTACATCCTCATGTAAGATATTCACCGGTCATCAATAAGACTCTCGGGCTAAATTACATTCTTTCACATCAGGACTAGGGAGGCCATTGTCATGGTATTTATACCGGACAAACGCAGTAATTATTCTATACAGACGTCTGAAATTTCAATAATTCCCATGGTGTCCTTATTCTTACCCCATGAGTCAGCGCATTCTGCTCCCAACCTCAGATGCTCTTTATGTTTCAGGTCTAACTCTTTCTGTAGGAATTTCAGTGTACTATTTCATCATCGGTGCACAGGTTTCACTGGCACCTCCAGCTTACACACAGAGATCTTTGTAAAATGTTCTGAGCTGCTCCAGGAGGTGCATTAATGCGAGTGTCTGGAGTAAGGTGAAACCAAAGATCAGCAAAATAGCTGCCACACCAGTTTGGGCAAACAGGTAACTTCATAGGGAACACCGGAGCTGGACATGACTGGCCTTTTTATTTATTCATTCTCATTCACTTTTTTTTTATTACTTTAATGACATGTTTTCAAGGCACCAGTTTGTTGCGTATTACGGCCAGACATCGGAGAAGTACGTCAAGTATTTGACGTACATAAGTATTATCAGCAAAATCAAAAGTACTTGTTCTGCAGAAATGGTCCCTGTGACTAATAATATTATACATTGCATAATTATATTGTTAAACCTGTTGTATCAATGAGTAAGTAGCATTTTACTGTTGTAGCTGGTAAAGGTGTAGCTAGTATTTACTACTTTACATATATAATTAGTTTAGGCCAGTGGTTCCAAAGGTTTGGGGAGTCAGGCCCCTCAAAGAGGTCACAAGATTAATCTGAGGTGTCATGAAGTGATTAATGGAGCATATAAGAAAAAGTACTGCCACACAAATTTGCATTTATTTTTTTCTTACTACTCTCTGATCTTTGCTTTTTTTTATTTGGATCATTTTTCCTCTTCAGGCGTGGAAAAGTAATTCAAATCTAACCATCTGAGAAGTTTTTGAATCTCATAGACACTTGTGGAAAGCACTGGTTTATTCTGTATTGTATTTTGCAATATTATGAAATACTTTTTAATGTAAAATCCTATTCTGAAAAGCAAGTCGAAGCTGTAGCTGTCAGGCAACTGCAGTGCGGAAAGAGCTCAATAGTTCCTCCTGATATGTGGTGGAGTAGAAAAAAGTAAAGCAGAACCTGAAGACAATACTTAAGCACATGCTAAATGGCAAATATGTTCAATCCATTTTGGGTTATGGTATGCTATGAAATAATAATAAATTAGCAATAAACAATAAATATTTGCATTAATAACATAGAGCATTGCTTATTAAGTCCTCTTGCTTCCGTATCCCTATGGCACAAAGCCCTGATAATGACGTCTTTCCAAGTAAAACAGAAACAAAACAGTCATGGTTTACTCTGTTGCACTGGGTGTGTCAAAAGAGTGGTATGCTCTTGTTAAACGAATGCTTTGATGAGGCTGCCTATCGTTTGTTTGCCCACTTATAGTCGATTAGTCACCCAGGTTAATCATTTCTGCCTTCCACCACACCTCATGAAAGAAGAGCGCATTACAAGTTTATACAAGAATTTGGGGAGAAGCACTTAAGCGCTGGTAACTTTCCTTTCCTCCGCTCATGTCCGGGCTTGTATGCAAACACTTGACGTGACCTGTGGATGTTTTCTCTTTCCTCCTTGTCCTAGCTGTGACCCAGCTCCCCGCCAAAGCTGAGGATGAAGTCTTTAGAGAAGCCGTGACGGACGGCTTCCTCGTCGATAACTTTTTAAGCACTACAAGCGCACTCGAATCACCCGAAACAAACACAACCGTTCAGGCGTCCCAGCAGCCGACCTCTGACTCCAAAGAGAGCGACGCGATTGAGGGCAGTGAATCGGAGGCCAGCGACAAGTCCACGACCCCCGTGTCCCTCCAGTTTGGAACCACAACTGTTTCACATGCTCTGAGCTCTGCCTCCACAGTGTTGCCAAGGGACACTGACGACTCCAGTTCAGATTCATCCACCACCCAAAGCCCTCAGTCTAGCTTGGCCTCAGTGCCGAAAGAAGCCCAGCCAAGCGTCACCCCGGACCACATCTCGGCCTCTCAAACCACTGACCCCGCTGTCTCCACCTTTGACTTCCTGAACACCCTGAGTTCTGACTCAGGGTCTGGATTTCAATCGAATGACGTGTACTTCACTACTACTATGAGTTCCAGTATGATCTCCAGCTCCAACACAGAAACTAGCACCACATCATCAACCTCCACGGCTGCTTTGATCAGACGAAAGGTTCCAGAATTTTTGGCAAGAAGCGAAGGCTCAGGCTCAGGATCAGAGGAAGAACCCACATTACTCGGTGAAGAGGAAATGGATTCTATAAAGAAAAAAGGGCGAATGCCGAATTTTTTCAATGATGGTAAATATCCAATAAAGCACCTCCCTCAATAGTAATGCAGACAATAACTTTTATAACAGCTTTTTTTGATTGCCTATGGCCAATTTTAAATATCTGATTTTCTGTTTAGTTCAAGCAAGCCAAGAAAAAGCAGAGCACATTAAGCCGGCACCCATCAAAGCAGGCGGTACACCAGGTGAGCCCAGAAAAAAATGCTTATAATAAACCGGATTTTCTGGCTTAAGAGAGTCAATTTTTTACTAACTCCTACTCCCCCATATCTCCAGGATGGATGATCATCATTGGTTTTATTGTCGGTCTTGCAGCACTGGTAATGCTCTTCGTCGCCATCGCCACAAGAGACAAGTAAGAGTTTAAAATCAGACAGAGAAGAACAATGTTTTGTAATTACAACTATTTTGAGCATAGAATTAAATTCTCACTGTTCCTCTTTGCACAGGTGGAATGGACCGAGCCAGGCATCCCAGGGCGAGGACAAATCAAACTCCTCAAACCAGCAGAGGGAGCTGGAGATGGAGACGTTCCTGCACAAAGACAATCCCAAGGAGAACGGACACACGGGAGAGTACACAGTCGTCCCCCTAGAAGAGCTTTCAGAGAAACATTCATCACACTGAGGTTCAGAAACATGACCCTCTGGAGGCATGAGACTCATCACAGAACCACAAGACTGTGTATGAAGCATATTTGATCAGAACAAACCTGTCGGGGCTGTTGAGCAAAAAGGTTTCTGCGGACTTTCACAGCTCTGAGCCCAGTCCCCAAAACTCTTATCATATCTTTACATTGAAACAACAATATTCTGGTTGATGCTTTTATTGTATTGTATTAACTGTATTAACTGGTCGGGTAAGTTCCACAAATGCCCTTTATTTCAAGTCTTTACTGTGTTTTTCTTGTAAATATTGTTTTTAACTTACAGGTCTGTTAATGGATGGACACAAGGAAAAGTATGTGTCCAGCATGGTGAATTTTTTTTTTTTTTGTGAAGTGTCCTTATCATGAATAATATTTGAAATCGTTTTGTAATAAAGTGATGTGCTGTGGATTGCAACTTATATTAAGCTGTTCTGTTGTTTCCCCCACATTTTATTAAAGAAGCTGTGTACTGAACAGTGCTCAGATAACTAACTCGTTAGCTTCTCTTGACAACCAACACGGCGCTTAACATGCACATAGTGTACCGTGTGTCAATAAATGCTGCGCGACGAACACCCTCATCTGAGAAATAAACACAACGGAAGCTCATCAATAAACATTTATTTGTTTCCATTAATATTTACACGCAAGTATTAAAAGATTTACACACGTTCAATCCACTTGCCTGACAAATACTGTGTGTGCGCTGCTGTAGTGTATTTACTGCGAGTGCATTCAATCCTGCATACATTTAATCAGTCAAAGTCGTAAGACAGTTTGCATCACAATGAACGTCACACACAAGGGAAATGTTGAATACATTCTTGGACCAATATGTGCATAGAATCAAAAAAGTAAGATAGAAAATATATGTTCTATTATCTAAAGATTGCACAATTTCACATGTTCATAGAAAACACTTGCTACACGAGGCCAGTCCAATGGGGGAACTTTCTTATTTAGATCGAGGCCCAATAAGAAATGCAATAGATGGGAAAATGATGTTACGAATGAATAGATAACGGGGTTGTTGAAATGGATCAGCGTGTGCTGTTAATTACTGTGGAAGGCTGTCACAGCATGTAAACATACTGTAGCTGCCAACACCAATGTTCCACATACAAAAAACAACCCTAATGTGCTCACAACCTTAAATAATCAACAACAACAATCCCTAATTAAAGAAGTAAGAAATATTGGGCTTTGTTTTTTCTCCCCGAGAAACATTTGGAGCTCAGTAGTTTCTTTTAAAAACAGATAAATCGAATGCATTGTTTGTAAATAAATAGTCCTAAATTCACAACACAGCTAGTGGCCCATAAAAGGAAAATTGACATACTAACAGTTACATATATATAGTTATAGAAACTTTTAGCATAGCAAAAACAATCCTGATAGATGACATAAAATGTCAAATTCTATACGTTTGATTTATACACTTTATCTAAAGAGAGTATATACACAAAGTGCAAGGAGGCACTTTAAACATGATTATATACACTGTCGCTTATAAAAAAGGACAAATAAATAATCCCGTTTTCACCTTGGTTTGAACAGAGTTGCTACACTGAGTTAAACTGAAAAACATGTACATATTCAGCCAACACCCAAGGACCTTGTTGTTACGGCTTCGGATTTATGCGAGTGCTGGAGGCAGAATCTAGTGTGCACTAGCTAAACTTGACCACAGCTAATCCTAGCTGGTTGTTTGTATTTAAATCTGCAGTGTAGAAACTACATTGTGCTCTAAGTGAGATCTAAGTGATATCTTGAGAGGGAAGCCCAACCGTCTCCGCTCTGAGTTGTAGTACAGCTGGGACGTGGAGGAGCTTTTCTTCTTCTACATGTTCTCACTCCTAACTCGTCTAAAAACAGTCTAAAAATCGGAGTCCCAGTATTCTGTTGAAATGAATAGTTAACAGAAATGTGTTAGTCGTCACACTGACTGCACTCTGCAGTTGACATCGTCAAGGCAAGGTTGTCATGTAAGCAAAGAAATAAACAGTTTGAAATAAAAACACAGAGCAACGCACCGGCCGGCTGAGAGCTTGAGAGACGCCATCTTTGTTTCCTCTTGTTGAACCTTCAACTTTCTTTCCTTGTTAATCTTGCTCTTGCTCTCAGAAACACACATGAATACACGGCAAATTCCAGCACACAGGCAAACCTTTTGACTGGAAACAGAACTTAGTGCATTGCTCATACAGAACATGTATACAAAAAGTAATAAATAAATAGCTGTGAGGGCACCCGTCACGTACTCTATTTTCTGCTTTAAAGCTCTCTGCAACACATCCTGTACTGTTCTGTTGCCACTTTTAGAGGTCACCCCCTCTGCTCTTATGGTCTTAGCCTTAAGCTTTGCTTCTTAGGCTTGGCCATGTGTGTGACATCACGGTGTAATCCCATAAATCAAACAGTCAAAGGTAACGCAGTGTTTAACCATCACATACATCACAATGCCACACCAAGCACTATATCATTCTGTTCGTGTTCTGTTTTCATGAAGCCAGTTTGCGTTATATCGAACCCTTGGTCCAGAGTTTCTGGTCATTTCATAAGAAGACAGAGTCTCAGAATACACAAATACACAATGATAATAACAACCATCTGTCAAATTCTGATCCACTGATCTGTAGCAGTAACAGTTCTGAGTCATTTACACCAACGTTTTCTCTTACTTGGTCCTTGCATTAAATGTAAAAAGGACATCGTCCGCGTATCACCTCTGCCCTTTAAGCTACAAAGAAAATACTTCCATACAAAAGAAAAAAATTAGATGTTGCACGAGGTCGAAGTCTTTCGTTGACAGAACAAGAAGCTTGCAGCAGCACCAAGTAAGGCCCTGAGTGTAGTCAACCGCATGATGTATTCTTCTGTACAAAGCGCTCGAAATGCACCAGTTCATTTCAGTTTGTGTCTAGTGCAAATGCAAGATCTAACACAAGTTCGGTGAGTCATCTGTAGTATGCTCCAGTAGCCCCCCGGACGGGTAACTGAAAGAAAAACACTGGCCAACTGTTCGTTCTCGTCGTACAGTTGACTCTGCTTACTTTCACTGTGTTTTGCTCCTTCTTTTCTATGTGATTTTTTTTTTTTTTTTTTTTTTTTTGCTGATTTCTATAGTTGTGTCGGCAGAAAGTTAAAGCTGTCGGAACTCAGGGTAAGGCGCAGCAACATCAGGATCTGCTTTACTCGCATTTCCATGGTCCCTCCTCAACAAGAGAGAACCCTGAAGGGTTGCCAATTTTGCCATTGGTGACCTGTAAGCAATTATCAAGAACATCTAACTGTGGGGCCAAGGCACCGTCATTTACAAACCGTTAACGGTTGGGAGCAGAGAAGCCATTGTGTCTTTACATTCAGGCCTTTGACCTCGGGGCTGAATTATTGTTCGAATCCCCCAGCATTGAAACACATGTCATCTCATACAATGATACAGCGATGCTGTTTACATGTCAATGTGGTTTGTCAAATACAACATTATATGTTTCTTTGGAGTTGGCCATGTATTGTATGGATTCTCTGCCCAACCGAATTACAACAATCAGTCATCAAAGTAATCAGCATGCAAAAGTTGCATCATACAGACAATGAAATATCAACAAAATTCTACCATATGAGTGAAATTCTGTAAAAATAAATTGAATAGGCATTTCATATATGCGTCACTCTGGATGAAACATGGTGAAACAGCAGTCTTTATGTATACCACTACAAAAAAAGACTCTTTTAAAAAGACGGCCAATGATTGAAAAGTGTAATTTGGTCAGGGCTGCCACAAATACATGTCCAATTAAATAGACAAAAGAAAGAAAAAAGAACAGTTTCTTAATAAAATCAAAACATACAACATCAAAATACAACTTAAATGTAATTGTGTACAAGACAACGCATTAGAATGGTTGATGCTTCAAGTCGAGTCAAACAGAGTTTTTGAAGATGATAAAAATCAAAACTATAATATAAAAAAAGAACATACTTTGCTTTTGTTGAACCCGGTACCACAAAAACTGCTTTTTCATATGAGTTGAAAAACAGGTGAATAAATAAATATAGAAATATTTATTTAGCGTTTTCACCACTTTTTATAAACCATTTTCTGAGATAAAAATATGACCTTTTCTATTCACACACACACACACACAAATACACCGATACAAGAAGTCACATCGACAAGAAACACAAACATAGAAAGGAAAAGAAAGACGAACACAGACACAGAACTGGGGAGGACTCTCTACATACACGTCTCTATGTCCGTTAACGTGAAATGTACCTTGCAATCGTCTATCAAGATCGAGTTGTTGTGAGCATACACATTCTGGTTGCTGTTATTTTCAAAGAAGGATTGTGTCTTTGCCATCTCAAGCTCCTCCATCCGGGCCTGTTGGTCGAAGGAGTCCAGCTCGTGCTTGGACAGGTGGTACACGATACCTGCTCCATAGGAGTCTCCAACCACATTAACGGAGGTACGGAAACGATCCCTGCATGTTGAGGAGGAAAGTGGTGTAAAAGATATAGTATAATTAGTAAAATACTGAGCATTAGGAGTGTTTTTTTCTGTTTTAATTTTGGTTTTAAGTTATGTTGTTAGTTATGCTTCTGCGTCAACAGAGATGTGAGCAAGTGAATGAATGGGCATGAAGAGAGTAATACTCTCTTTTCCAGCAAACCAAATATACGTTGAACGTGGACGTTTTTGCATATATATATATACTTAAAAGTTTTCTGAATCTGTTTGCTTGATATACAGAAAATAATTTTACAGGGAAAACATATTCAGACGAAAGTTGTTTAAATAATTATATTATTATTTAACGATAGCAAGTTTTGTCTTTAAGCTTTTTAGGGCATCATCTATAATAATAATAATGGTCCAAGAAGAAAAAAAATTCAGATTCAGTTTTTTTTGATCCTGCTGCATAATATGTTCAATCATTCTGACTGGGACACTGCTCCTAAAACCTGATTGAATAACAACCAGTCGATACACACGCCAACATGTGAATAAGGGGAGTACTGGCACTTATCTATATTTCCAATTCAAGTCCTGGATACAAGGCAGATATAAAACTTTTTCAACGTATACCATGATTTGTAGAAATGTACAATGGTAAAACAAACACAGGACTTTCAACCAGCAGACCTGTGTTCGTGTCCCATGGTGTTGTTGAATTATTTTGAAGTTATGTTAGTGATGTTTGTGTCAAATTTTCCGTACTTATGTTGCCTTGTTTGTGTTTTACTTAGTTAGTTTAAGGAAAAACATCATGGTTGGCCTTGAAGTAAGTACATACATAAACTAAGTGGTTTTGTTGTCTAAACATGTGTTCTTGTTTGAATTCACGACATTAGCCACGTGTTTACTGTGACAGTAGTGGTATGAGAACGTGTTGTCTATATGCAGCTTTAGAGAAAAGATTTTAAGCATCCAAAGGATTGTTGGGAACATTTGAGACAATATGGTGTGCAGAGTTATGCTTTGAAGCTGTTATTTGCTAAAAACCCACTGAGCATGATATGTTTCTCATTTTCTCCGATTTCTTAGTTTTGTTGAAATGACGGCACATTCTAAAGAAAGAAAATATTGATTTGCTCTTATCCAGGGATTTTTGAGGGGTATACAGATTGGAAGTGTCTTTATGTTTTCAATAAAAGCATTTGTGTTGATGGTGAACTCACAGCAGCCAGTCGACAGCGACCAGGAGGCTAATGTCCTGGGTGGGCAGCCCCACCGCCGTGAGGATCAGAAGCATGGTCACAAGTCCAGCACTGGGGATACTGGCTGCTCCAACACTGGCCAGGGTGGCTGTCATACTAAAAAGGGAAGCAAATTCAACTCTCAGCAGGAGGACAGAAGGCACTGCCACTAAACCCTTTTAACATGCAGGCACTGTATTTCCAATAAAAACGGTATGATGACAACTCCAACATTTGAAATGACTCACCTAACTCTAGGAAGTGTATGAGTAATACAGTGCCTGACCATAATTAAGATAATTATCTTAAAAATTAAACATATCATGTGAAACATATCCACAATGGTACGAAAACTATAGTTTTATTCAAGTTATGAGATATAAACAGGAACAATCCATTTTGCTGGAGGTTTGACCTCTTCACTGCACAAATGCTTCACCAGTATTCATGGAGAAAGACCATCATTTGAAAAATTATCTTCATTCGTTGGCTCAGGCAGATTTAAAAGGAAGAATTTGGCTAATTCACTGCCGAAATGTGACCTTGCAAATGTGCTGTGATGTCTGCATCTGGAGCCGCATTTTCACCTGACAGTTATAATTTGGCCCCAGTCGAGGTTAATCCCATTCATCTGAGCGATGAAGATGGCAGCCACAGCCTCATAAAGCGCCGTGCCGTCCATGTTGATGGTGGCGCCAACCGGGAGGACAAAGCGGGTGACCCTCTTGTCGATGCCCAGGTTCTCCTCCAAGCATCGGAATGTGACGGGCAAGGTACCGGCACTGCGGCAAATGAAACGGGAAGAAATGTTGTGATAGTCACGGACAGGATTGCAGTCAGGTTCTGTTTGCAAACTCTGCACCCAATTTGGAGAATTTCTTGCAGAAAATTTCTTGCAGAAAATAAAGAACTTCACAGCAAATCATAGAGTGTCTGTTGAGAATTAATCAGACTGGGTTGCACTTGACGTTGCACTAGTTTTCAAACTTTTCATACAAACATAAATCCACTCTGAATTTTGGTAATTTATTCATTGTTAATTTGTAAAATAAAACAGACTAATATAGGCTAAGGCCTTCATGAGTTTCACTTCACCAAAGAAGCAAAAAGTTATTCAAGTTTGAGTTCACTTTGAGGCTGAATCTCATAGAGAAAACAGCAGTTGCGTTTGTTTTTGTCTTATAATTAATTATAATTATAGTGTTTCTGGCACATGGCGGACAGCGAGCGGGCCAGAACTTGACAGTACAAAGCTCACCTCAGAAGGGGAAAGAGTGCATCCATGCCATTAATAAAACATCTGTTCAAGGAAGTGATCCCACACGGAGGCAAAGTGAGAAGCCAATGATGGCAAGACTACTTCATTGTTACCATTTGAAATAAAGCTTGCATCCGTTATTTACCATATGGCCATGGAGGAAAGGGGAAATGTGAGTAATTATAAAAACATGCAGCACACTGTAGAGGCGCTGAGCTCACTACGGTCAGAAGAATGATAAACAGGAACAGAAATCCCTCATACCTGGACGCTGTTCCAAGTGCCGTGACCCAAGCTTGGAATATCCCCATAAAGAACGTGAAGGGGTTTTGTCTTACTATCACAAAATATATCAGCGGAAGGAAGATGCCTCCGTGGATGATCAGGCCCACTATCACAGTGACCATATACATCCCCAGCTGCCTCGCGACCATCTCCAAGTCCGCAATGGAGATGATCTTTCCACAGATGAGGCAGGCAATACCAAAAGGGGAGTACCTTAAGAGAGACACAAGGTGTTTGTCATCAGGATTACATCTCTATGTTGTATCTGCATGTTTATTTAAAGTGTTTTGAATACATTGAGGAGGAGTGGTTTAGCAGTGTCAGTATGCCTGTAGTGGACAGCACTTACCACATAATTGCGCCAACAAGCCTCATAACAATCTCATTCAGGACGTTGAAAAACTCCAACATCAGCTTGGCCTTTTCCCCCATTTTGCCCATAATTACTCCAAAAGCGACAAAGAATCCAATCAAACCTGTACAAACACATAAATGTGGATAAACTTAACTCGTCTTTGAGGAAATAAATAGATTGGAATAAATCATGGCAGAGAGATGTAAATTTATCTTGATGTGTGCCATAATACAAAAATAAATATGATATTCTGAAAAGTAAAAGAACTTGGTGGTTTTCTTCAACAACTTTTCAGCTCAGCAGTGGATGTGTTTTCAGACTTTTCACCTACCTAGGACATTCATCCCTCCCTTGAACTGGAGCGTCCTTTTAACTGTGAACTGTGGGGGTGCTTTGGTTCTGTTAGTAGGCACTTGTACTTTGGTTGTTACTGTTTGGATCTGGACAAAGAAGCAGAGAAAAGAACAAAGAGTTAGAGCAAGTGACATATGAATCCGATGTAATGTGGTGGGTCTCCTCTGTGAGACTCCTACCTGCTGAAAGCAGGACTGCACCAAGTTATCTGGGAAAAGATTTCGGATGAGATCGAAGAAAGCGTCCATGCTCGACACATCGTCGTTCTTCTTTCCCTGCCCGAGGTTGGCCTTCAGCTTGGGGTTACCGGGATGGATGAGCAGCACCAGGATCACTCCCAGGACGGCTGCAATCACCGTCGTCGACATGTAGTACACCATGGCCCTGGTGCCTAGGCGGCCGCTGGATTTGGCATCCAAACCCGCTAGTCCTGTTGGCATCGTGTGTTTTAGAAGAAAATCAAGGTTAGTGCGCAGTATTGAAAATGTTTCTCTCTTTATCAGATAGTGATGAAGTAAGATTTTGAAATGTATCTGTGCATTTTCATGCTCTTTTGCCCCAATAGAAAGCTGCAATATTCTGCATTATTTTAAAATCCCTCTCTCTCTCTCTCTCTCTCTCTCTCTCTCTCTCTCTCTCTCTCTGTTTTCTTCTGTTTAGTTTAGTAAATAATGTAAAAAAGTAGTATTATATACACATGCAAAATATTTAGCACAAATGCTTAACAATATTTGAAACGCAATATTGCTATTAAGTTGATCAGCTGCCTTCAAGAAACAGCTGCTTCCAGTCAGACCAGCTTTGCAGCATTTGAACTGTGAAACCTCCACCTCCACACATAAGGCCTACCTCAAATAGATAAGTGTTGATTTGGTGACTCTTCTCGCTGTGAGAAAATATTGTGGAAATATATTGGAAAAACTAATTCTGTACCCAACAAAATTCACATGGCTTGCTTCCAAAGAGAGATGACTCAGTCAGAGACTCTGCTTGAGTACACAAGAAGAACATTTCTACACTTTAATTTCACATTTGTACGGACAATAGGACTAATCTATTGAATTTGTTTTCCAGTTTGACAGCAAGTGATTGTAACACTGTTTCTCGACTTTGTCAACTGTCTCAGCTTCTGGAACGCCACATAATGAACAACTGCAGTTTTCAACACATGAATTGTTTACTGAGGGTAATTGAGTTTGTGAGGAAGGCTTTGCTAGTTCTGTGAACTATCAAGGTTGTGGAGACTTAATGTTGAAAATGTGTGTGCACACTGTAGCCTACTGTGGACAATATTTCGAAATATCACATATGCATCATTACGAAAACAAATACAAGCTTGTAAAGCAAAGTTGTATTATATATTATAAGCGATTTGACGTGTGACCACAGGTATTTTCAACAAAAAACATATTACAACATGAATCAATTTTTTTAAAACAGGTCTACTGTGATCTAGATGTACACGAATAGCACTGTACGTCATAATCAAAAGAACATACGCACATAATAAACTAAATGTTCAAATGAAGGACAACCATGTGCTCTTTAATTTCTATAGATGTGCATTTCAAAGGGAACAAATACATTATACCGGCAACAAAACGTACTATATCTAAACACTGTATATCAATAGATTTTGTCAACCGAGTCGCTTGAAAATATGTTAGCATTGTACATTTCTCAAAAAACCACGGATATGTTAAATGTCTATATTTCTTCACAGCAAGAAACAACTACAAAATACACCATGCGGTTAACATTGTGAAACAATTTGTTTTGTTTAGGCAACAAAACTACTTGGTTAAAGTTAGAAAAAAGATCATGGTTTGTGTTAAAATAATAAGATAACAATGTAACGTACCAACTCAACTAGCGAAATTAAATATCAACCGCCATTATCAGATTTTCTTTACGTAAAAGCGTAAAGTCAGCGCAGACTTGTAGTCAGAGGTGTCGGGGGAGAGTCCACCCTTAGAGGGCTTTCTGGCTTGTTACAGCCTACTTGCTATTATATAACTTTCAAACACTGACGCTCAACATGCTATGTCCCTTGCTCTGCGCGTGTTTCTTTGAGCTACGTCAGTTGCTGTGACCGAATACAAAAACATAGACATTCAACGTATCTATGGTTTGTAGAAACATACAATGTCAACATTTTTTCTTGGTGACTGGATTGATTTGGTCCGAGTTTTGTCTTTTGAAGTAGTATAATGTCCATGTTCTCACTAAATGTATTTTTTAGGTGAGGGAAAAAAATTAAATAAATATGCCTCTCGTCCTCCAAACAGGTCTTGTTTATACACAAAATGCCTGAAGGAAAAAACCCGCCCACTCTCTCATCTCTCCCGTTGCAACGCAACTCTCAGGCAGCAACAAGTTGCAACATGCGACCTCATTTCAGCAAATTGAGCAGAACGTTCGCAGCAGCCACTCTACCAACTCACCCACCTGTGACCAGACTGGAAACAACAAGAGGCAAAATAAGCATCTTCAGCATCCTCATTAGGATCTCTCCAGGGAAGGCGATGATCATAATGACATCAGGAGGGAGAGGCGATATGTGACGCAGCAGCATTCCAGTGATGGAGCCCAGAAACACACCTAAGCCAGCGAGAAAACACAAGTCAATCACAAAGCGTGGTGACTCGGAGCCATGAGATACTAACCCTGAACGCTGAAGGTGTCTGAACACGATCATATCAACTTTGTGTGATAAATACAATCTCACTTTTTGCTCATTAGAGTTTTAAAATAACAACGCAACCTGTCATCTGAGGGTCGCGGTGCAGATGCGTTACCTAAGCAATTACAGCGATAATTGCTTACATGTGTGTTGAATAAAACTTTTAACTCCATAAGGCTGCTTATGTTTCACCCTTGACAAGATTATAAAGATTATAACTTTAATCTCTATAATCACTGAACATCTGTCAACACATGTAGAGTAAAAATGTAGTTGAAACCAGTGAAAAAATAACACCGAAGACGACAACTTTTTCTTGTTTCTATTTACTTCAAATGAAATATTAATAATAAAAAATAATACAAAAATAATTGAATGCAACTACTTTCCTTTTGAAGGCTTTTAACAAGAAGCTGTGAACCATTTTCATATTCGAATGGTATTTAGCAAAAAGGTATTGGCGTCACGTAGGGCCGCTCAGCGGTTACCACCTCAGCAAGAGGGTCCTGGATTTGAAAGAACGGGGCCTTCCTGAGTGAAGTCTGTGTTTTTGCTAATGTGGGGGTGGATTGTCTGCTGATCCTCCAGGTTCCTTCCACGGTTAACTTCCCATTGGTGTAAACATAGAAATAAAATAGGAGTAGAACGGACATTCTCATTCAAATCGAGGTAGCAGGATGGTCAGAGCAGCGGCCATTTTTAAGTGCACTGTTGCCATTGCGACCGTTGTAGTGGGATAGCTTTCATATAAACTAAACTGACGGAGGTGAGGTTTTGCCGTAATGACTAAAATAAGCAGTGGAGTAAATAATGTTACAAAGCACAGAGAGCCAGAGTAAATGAGTGAAATTTAACAACTTAATGCTTCATCCACACACTCTTGTCACAGCATAAGAAAGCACATATCTGACAACGTTGTATGACTTATTTTCTGTAACCAGTTTAGCATTAAAGCATGGTGGAATTTACAAGCCAGCTAGCAAGCTGGTGGACAGCTGATTGGTTAGCTAAGATAAGATAGACTTTATTGTCCCGAAGGAAATTTGTCTTGGAAACATACATAGTGTCTGCTGTTAAAATAATACAAATAACATATTGCATACATACATTACATAGACATACAGACTGTCGCCATTCCACATACCCGCACACACAGTACCTACAGTACATGCAACAGACTGCCACAAGCCAACAAATACATTTCACACTGCCCGCTGTACAACGCACCAGTAGTGTATAGTTAAGATAATACAAATAAATAAAAATCGGTGTTACAGGCGTTAAGCTCTGGCTAGCTTGCCATTTAGGGCTTTGATGGACAAGGGGACAAAGGAGTTCTTAAAGCGGTTGAGCCTGCACAGGGGGACTCTGAAGCATCTGCCCGAGGTAGCTTGATAAGTCCACCATGCTTTAATGCTACTCTGGTTACAGCAAATAAGCCAAACAAAATAAGCTGCCTAGCTAACTAGCCAGACATCCGTCTCACCTGAGCTGTGTCCCAATGAGCTGTGAAGACACTTTGCGTGTTGTCACCGCAACAATCGTCTTCGCTTTTTTGTCAATTAACCATGGAAAACTGTTCAATGTCCATCCTACTCTAATTCTATTTACTTACCCAAGATCGTGAGAGTGAGAACCATGTTCTTCATGACTTTATCACACAGACTGCTACATACGCTCTCAGAACTTTCCACTGTGGGCTCAAGGTGGGTCCCGTCCATCTTAACCTCCACTTGCTTCTGCATTCTGTTGGCACTGAAAGAGGCAAAGAAGAATGAAAAGCTGGTATTAATTACGAGCCGAATTTTAAGCTCAGATAAGCCATAAACAATATGAAGGAGGCTGAAAATAGAGATGGAGTTACACTATAATTAGTAGCAATGTTCCATTATTCCTGAGTATGAAACCAATAGAATGCTAGAGACTTCCAGCCTGGTTGTGCATTCTGGCAATGTTTGTTAGTGGGAAGCCAGTGAGGGATTACATTGTTGTCACTGCAACTTCAAGTCCTACTGGTTGGTCAGAGCACCTGCACAGGTAAGGGTGGGATCTTGGGGGATAACGTGAATCTCTAACACATTATATCCTCCTAGTAGTGCGATCATGTGCACCGGAGGAGACACATCTGTCTAATATACCCTCACCAGGCTAACAGTAGAGTTAGCAGTGACAAATCGGCAACACACAAGGTATTGACATGCAATATTACTATTTCAAAAGTGTTCACTTGTTGATTAAATTAAATGCATTCTGCATATACTCTGCATTCTGAATGCATGCAAAGTTGTAACAAGTTTGCAGATGGCCTTTTATAATTAGTGACACAGAATCAATAAAAAGGGCCTGTTTATAATCTGCATTTTAAAGATTATAAACAGGCCCGTTTTTACTCGACTTGATTAAACAGAACACCAGCTGTTACTTGTATCACCCTCCTCTGCTATGCCTCCTTTCTATGCATAGTCATTTATGATAATTTTGAGATATTGTTTCTATGTTAAAAGGGTTTTTCCATCACAAGCAAATAAAATGTGATTTTTTTAATGTGGTCAGTGATTTGGCTTCATGCGTTCTGAGAGTTTCCAGGACTTTCACGGCTCAGAGACGTTCATTTCACACAGTGATCCCAACCATCCTTCGATCTTGCTGCTTCATCTCACCGAAGCAACAAGTACCTCAGGTTTGTTGTGGTTTGCCGCAAAGCCTCTTTGACTTAAAGATCAGCTTTCCCCTGTGCAGCCGATAAATCCTCTGGAGAGCACAGACGTGCACAGTTATGCAACAGCGAATGCCCGTGTCACTTGGACACAGTCGACCTTCGTGACTTTAACACCTGGAATATTAATGCTGGCAGAAAACACCACAGAAGAAAAGTTTCTCTCAGCGAAGGTGGTGGAGTGAGTGAAAAGTTTCCATCCAGAAAAAGTACTTCCCTTCAGGAATACACACAGTACAGATGGTCGACAAAGCTTTTACTAGAAACAGAATGCACTCTTCTTCCCCACATTCAACAACACTGAACTTTGATCATCCAATATTTGAATAAGATTTTGCAGAACTGAAAGTGAACAGGGAACTTTTGAGGTGAGGGCAGAGCAACTGCCAAATCAATCACACCTGTCTGATACACTGTGCTCTAGCATTAATGAGACATAAGCCTTCTGAAGAGGGTAAAATTAGCACCTCCCGCACACAAGTGATTGAGTTATGCAACACAAAAGGGGCTTCCCAGGAAAAGTCAAGGTGTCACCATCACTCAGCCTGACCACTGTTAAGCAGGAGATTACAGATTTGAATCACAAACTTTAGTGTTATTTGTTTAGGTTCTCCAACAGCAATGGACAAATCCTTTAAGACCAACAACAAAAAAATCATGGATGAGCAATGTAAGGCAGTTTCGTACCAAACATAAGGACATATTTAGGATTTACTTCTTACTTTTTTTCAATGCAAGCTTGTAATTTTTACGCGTTTACCATTAACAGTCACACAAAATGCACTGTATCGACATCTTTGCTTGTGAGGCTGATGCAAAAGGGTCAAGGGGCGAAAGAAGACGGAGTGCATGTGCTGTAATGACAAATACATCTGAAAAACAACTTAATTCAACATATCAATAACAGGATTATACGGGTGTTTTTCCATTATACCGTTTACTTCTGCACACAAAAGGCCACAGCTATTATTGCATACATCATTCATCTCTTAAGGCAAAGCTGCACAGGAACAGCTGAATGTTATTTTGATGCCCTCCCCTTCAGAACCAATGTTTTGATGACTTCATCTCAAACACTACTAGCTCATCACTATGTGCTACTAATAATGCTTACCAGTTGTTCTGTATGTTGCTTTGGATTGAAATTGTATTTGTGGAGAGCTACTGCACAGCCATCCGCGTCAGTGGAAAAAATAACAAAGTCATGACTCGTGCATTAGGAAATCCAGTCAGAACCTTCAAAACAACTCTTCTATCCCTTCAGACAGGGTTCGTCACTCCTTTGAAATATCTGCAGATCACTTCTTTCTCAGCGTTGGATGTCTATTCCGACATCACAGATCATTCAGCCTCAGGGTGGTGCGTAAAGGTAAACTGAATCCTGGAGGTCTGACAGGAGTCTCCCAGACCGGGAGGGTGGAGTCAACCTGCTGAGATTAGCAAGAGGGTGAAAATCCTTGTTGCTTTCTTTCTTTCTTTTCTTCTTTTTTTTTCTTGGTTTTATTTGTTTACTCCTCCTTCCAGTGAGAAAGATATTACATTTGCTTTGGACGTCCAAAGAAATCAAGTCACAGAAGGTTTTGGACGGGTGAAAATAAGTGCTGAGAGTTGTGTTAGGTTCTTACTTCACTGAAAACACAAATAGTGTTTGGATATTTCAAAAAGCTTATTTACTTAGATTTCATGAATTAGAGAAATAAAACAAAACAATGCATATTTAGCAGGGCAATTCTTTAAAGCTTAAGTACAGATAGTGCATGGCTTACAGATTTTTTTTTGTACAGCCCTTTCAAAAGAAAAGGTTGCCAGGAGTTTTAACACCTCGGCTATGCATATACCGTGTTTTTCTCGAATGCTGTTATTAAACAGAGTCAAGTAACGCACTTCATGATGGCTGATCAAATGTGTACTGTTCATCTGTGTTGCCATGTGGAGAATTTTAAATGATTTACTGCGATTTGTGGGCAAACAACACAACTAAGCTTCTCGCAAAGCGAGTGATTATTTTGTAATCTCAAATGGGTTCATGCTTCATTGATATGTGAGCCATTGAAGGGAAAGAAACAACTTTGTCAGCTTCTCATTTAAAGTTTAGAGCAATCTTGTAACTCATGGGCTATTGGTCTTACAATGGATAAGCCTCAGGTGGCAATGGGCATTATATATATATGTATATAAATATCAGGGGTTCTGGTGTAGCCAGATGATATCCAGGCCTAGACTTCCTTTTCCGTGCGCGTTGTTTACAGTCCGATTAGCAGCTTGAGACTGGAGTTGTGAAACGACATGTACGACCAGATTGTTTCTCAAGTAGCCAGTTAGTAAGCTCATTTTAAACCAATAAAACCTGAAATCATCGTCGGACAATTTTGGATAATTATCCAAGATTGCATTTTGCAGAACACATTGGCCAAAAATTTTGTTCCAACGTAATTGGTCAATACTACTTGGACCACAGACGGAAAACAGATGCTTCCGATATCAAAATCTTGTTCTGTTCAGATTCTGCATATGAGTGCAGAATCTGTTCATAGAGATTAAGTTCACTCTAAAAAATACCTTACAAAATAACCCGCAAAAAGCTTCAAGGAGAACTCATTGAGTAGAATAAGAGTTGATTATGTGAGCAAAACAAAACAAAAAATAGCTGATTGCAGCTTTTTCCTCAACACGTTTTTGAATATTTAATCAGAGATCAATTGTGACTTGTGTTTGGGTATGTTTTTGTATTTCTCACTGATTTTAATGGTTTTGGCATGCGTGCGGCTGGTCATTTCTATTACTCGGCTTAAACCGACATCAGAATGCTTGAGATGACTTGATAATTGGGATGAAGGTAAATAAAAGGGAAATGAAGCCAGGTATATACTTTTCATGATTTTATAAATCACGTGTTTGTTGTCTTCCAATCATATGACCCTGAATGTTTTGCTGTGCCGCTCCGTGCTCTGCCAGCACTAAATCCTGATTTGAGTTGAGGTACTTGAGGTGATGCGGCTATTTATTGCTGCTTAGTCTTTGCGTGTCCTCAGTATGATACCACTCTTCCTGGCTCCTTTTAGTTTCACAGTGTGACACGGCCATTGGACATGAAGTTATTGCGGTTGAGTTGCCATGGTGGGATTTATTCCTAAATGTTATGTTGGGACTCTTTATGTGGACAAGATGATTACTGAGGTGCGTGTTGTCATTGGAGCCATTTTAACATTTTGACAGTCGTCATGCTCCTATTTGGTCTCTTATTATAGGTCAGTCATGACGTGCAGCCTCTTAAGAAGGCTTTAAGCCTTATCATTTATAGTCATTGAAATGGCCACTTCACCATGTTACTACTTTATCGTTTGACGCGGGAATCAAATAATTGTCGAGCCACAATTAAAGGACAATTGAATGCCAGCTGTCTGACTGCAGGGCGAAGGACTATTTCAAAAATAGCTGCTGTAGGAAAGAGGCGTATCTCTGCAGTTTTGCAATTTTGCCGGGTGAAAGTGCTTTGAGTAAGTCACAGTAAGTCCGGTGAGGTGTGTGAAGATGCCCATTGCTGGGCTGCTCTCAGAGCTGGGACGCAGAGGAAAAGAGACAATCTAAGAGCACATGGTAGAGCATTTGTCCATGCAATGCCATACCTTGCTCTGCCTTTTTCTCCCCTCAGCGCGAGCCGGCCTCATGCTGCAACACCTGACAACGCACGCCACGCTTAGACAGCAGGTGTCTATAATTAACTAATCTGTTCTGAGCCATCCTAATCCAGCACACATACACACTGAGATGGATCAGACGCGCTCAGAGAACAAGTCCGCATGTGTGGAGAACATTTCCACAAATCATAAAACAAAGGTCTCATCCTTTATGTGGCGATACTGATAGCGGATCACTTTGTGGCAATCAAGGAACGAATTAGTTTACTGGCAAAAAACAGAAACAAGTCAGCAATAGTTGATCTGTGATGCAGGGTTTGCGATCCGCTATGTGAATCTTTTCTGCATACTTTTTGTTGCACTTTAGTTGTAAGCCTGGTGCGTTGCATACAGAGGCTACAGAGAACCTGACCAAGCTACGGTATTTGACGCGTGCAGGCCTTTGTCCTTTGCCCTCAACTTACACAGACAAAGAAGTCAGAGCCACATTATCAGCAGTCTATATGAGGAATATTATAATCCAAAACAACCCCACAGTCAGAAACCTACAGAAAGAAATCCATTTTGATACCAAAATCTTTTTGACAGCATTGACTTAAAAGTGAAGATTCCTCCGAGCACATTCAGACAGAGACTGCAGGAAATACTAGCAGTGGGAAATGTCTTTCTGCTGCTGGCGAGGATTAATAACAAAAATAATGAGACTCATCGCTACATAAAAACTACAGCATAAACAATCAAAGTCAGCAGTAGTTTCAACGTCAGTAATTATTCATTGCTGTACTGTTTTCAGTGGAATAAAGGAAGGAACGTAAACAATAAAGAACAGAACTTTTACAGCCCTCATCCACAGTATTTAGATTTTAAATCAATCTTCGTGCTGTGATGGAACAGGAAACTCAGATGAATGGGTTACCTATCTTAAGAGTTCAGCTAACCAAAGCGCCCAGAGGGGCACAGCACTTTGCTTTTTGTTACAAACCAACGCCTATCAGACTCAAAGTTTTGTTGTTGTAAGCACCCCGAATACAATAAAAAACATTGTATTCATTTATGTACAATATATCTTTACGGTCAACCTTACAGGTGTTTACACCTTCTACATACTGTTGATACATGTTAAAAAGACTACAACTCCCAGCATGCTCTACATAACATAGACACGCGGTTGCTGTGGATGCGGAGAGTCCATTAACTGCAGAGATTTAGTCTAAGGATGTAAGTCGGGGGTCAGTCAGTCGGTAAAATACTGACAATTCATGCAGAAACAATGAGGATTAATGGGCTTTTCTGATGGTTCCATGTGTCAACCTGTCAATGCTTTTAGGGATTTCATGCTTGCAGATCAGTTAAATATTATATGCTTCACTTACGGGTTTATAAATCTCCATATGCTGTCGAGGAAAAACATCTGTCAAAAACAAGATGCATATTATCTCTGCAGAGTGAACATATAGACAAACATTAAAAGTTAGGAAAGTTGTCATTTATACGTGGCTTTGAGAACAATTCATCACTATTCTGTGATTTACAGCCATACAAAGATTTTGATGTATTTAAAGTTTCCAATTTAAAACAGCTATTTATTGTAACAAGCACACAGTTCAACCCACACACTGATCATGACATAATGCGAATATTACAAAAAGCATAAAATGTTCCTTCAGTGTACATTGAAACATTGCATCTATTATTCATGCAGGCAATTGTGCCGTGCTTGAAGACCTGAAGCCCCTCTCTTCATAGAACAAGTGAGATCATTTAATTAAGTGTTAGTTGGGGTCTAGTGCTCGCTGGCCAGCAACCCAGACTGTGGTTGTACTGGGCAGCTTGTGTGTAACTATGCAAATGTGATCAGGGCGTTCCTGCCAAAAGAGAGGCTTCCTCTCAGTGAAACGTTCCTAAATAAAGGTTTAAAAAAAAGAATGAATAAATAGATAAATTAATGAATCACAAACATTTTCTGGGATATTCTGAAAGAGAACATCAATTAGTACCAATTGATGCCAGACCGAAGAGATAAAAGTAAATATTCAACTGTACTGAGGAATATTTCTGGCTTACGTTAGAGAAATTGATCCAAGTTTTTAGTCGTCGGCTCCAATATCCAACTGTAATTAATATTAGGATTATAACAAAGATTTGAAATGCACAAGTAACTCCAGGCTATCTTGCACTTTGATTACACCATCCACAGGGGGTTGTGATCGCCCCTTCCCCACTTCGTACCCCCTACTTCTGGGGGAACCCTTGCTCTGACCACACCCATCTTCAAACTTGGGCCTTCATGTTGATCGCAACTACACACATTTAAAGTTTGGTGGCGCCAAATCAGGCCAGGGACGTAAAATTTCACGACTGAATCTTGCAGGTTTGCAGTCATATAAACACCCGGCAAAGTATTCAAAACCACTTCTGTGGTAGTTTCCCGCTACATGGGGTGTCTTCCAGGGCCACATTTTTGCCACGAGGACACACACTGCGACTCAACACAACACCAGCCTCGCTGTCACATCTGGTAAAACTGGAACACAGTGGATGCACATCAGGTCACTAGCTAATAGAGACCCTGTTTTGCATCATAGAGCCATGTGGCATGGCTGATGATCCCGTCTCACTGATGATTTTAATTACATCTGTCTGCTAAGAGCAGGATTTTCAGTTGGATCCGAGCCAGAGCTCAGCACCAACTCATGATTATGAGAGT